AAAAAAAAAAAAAAAAAAAAGCATTTGGTTATTATAGACTGAAGTCAGGAGGCCTGGGGTCTCTAGGCCTTATATTTTTCATGCTTGTAAAATATGTAAGCTGGTCCCCACCAACTTGAGAATTCAGAGAGGAGACACAACTTGCACCAAGCCGTGCAGCTATAAAGTGACCAAGCTGAGACCAACCAGCTGTAGGATTCTCCTCCTCTAAAGCCCCTGGAGGCCCAGGACTTTGGAGCAAGAGTGTGGCTCTGGCCAAAGTTGCTTTCTGGCTCACAGGGACTCTCTTCTTGTGGATGTTCTGGCCAAGTTTCAACTCCGCTCTGTTGGACCTTCCAAATGAAAAGAAGAATGCTGTGTTCAACACCTACTATGCTCTCGCCGTCAGCACAGTGACAGCCACCTCAGTGTCAGCCTTGAGTCACCACCAGGGGAAGATCAATATGGTATGAAGGGGCCACCCCTTGGGCAGCCCCGTACCCCTCATACCCCCTTCTGCCCCCAGCACCAGCTCGTGTTTCTCAGTCAGGTGACTGCTGAATGCACCTGAGAGGTGAGGATTAATATGAGCCCAAAGATGAAGGTCATTTGGTCCCAACCAAGGAAAGGTGATGGTTTCAGGGTCGGTGAAGTAGGAAGGTTTTACAGGGTTGCTTCTCTACTAGCTTGTTGAGAAATTCTGGACAGGATGATGTCCTCCCTGTGCCTCACTTCATTCATCCACAAGCTATTTCTTTGCAGACCAATATCCACCACGCGGTACTGGCAGGAGGTGTGGCTGTGGGTGCTTCCTGTCACCTGATTTCCTCTCCTTGGATTGCTATGGTGCTGGGCCTTTTGGCTGGGTTGATCTCCATCGGGGGAACCGGATGCCCGTTGGTGAGGAATTGGGCAACTAATACCCACTGTTTTGGCTTAGAGTAACAGGACCCTTGGTGTATGGTGGGCCATCGTGGGTGCTATGGGCTGCATTCGGTAGGAGATTGTTGGCTCTTTCTCTTAACAGCTGCAAAGCCTGATAAGGAACCCACTATAGTTGGATACCACATTTGCTAGGTTGCTGAGGAACAAGTAAAATGATCCATTCAAGTTTGCTTGAGCATGAGAGGGAGTTTGTTATAAGGCAACTAGGGTATCATAGAACCCAAAGTAGAGGTGCTGCTGGGAACCCCAGAGGGGCTGGCATCAGGGATTCGCTTGGGGAGCAATGCTAAGAAGTCTCTGTTCTTCCTGAACATCTGCATTATTCTGACTCTTTAGACCTGTTGCCTCTTCTCCTGTACCAACTAGAAGTCTTGGTCTTTTGCTTCAAGAAAGTAGCCGATTCCAAATCCTCTGAAGCGGCTCCTTGGCTTAATTTGGGAAATGTGTCATTTTGGACTGGGTTGGAGGGGTGGGCCACACATATAGGTCTGTTGCCAATGAGCCAAGTGGAGGAGGAGGGCAGAAGCACCCAGAGGAGGGAGTGCCAGGCTGATGATCCAGGTCATGTCCACTTTTTATTGGCTTACTTTATCAAGTGGGTTTTCCTTTAATACTCAACGGATTACACCAGAACATTCTATTATAGCCAAGTGGTTATAATGTGCTTCTAAGAGAAACATTTAGGGACAAAAAAATCTTTTTTTTTCATTAAGTTTATTGGTACCTTTTAGTTATAGAATAGTTACATTCATCACTGGGATCTTGTACCTTTATGTGATCTGTCTTGGTTCTTGTTTTTTCCCCATTCCCCTGCCCTCCCTTCACCCCCTCCACACTTCCTTATTTACAAAGACTTTGTTTCCATTTTTTCCTTTTCTCATATTTTTTCTTCTCCCTTCTTTCCTTTCCCCTACCCTTCCCACTTCCCCTACTCCTTTAGACCTTTTCCTCCTATTTCACATTATCAGTATACCATTTGAACCTTATTTACGCTTTTCGTTTTTCACACCAGAGAAACTATTTGGTATTTACACATGTGTGTCCTATTTATTTCACTTGAATGTGTCTAGTTTCTCTAGGGACAACAAATCTTACCACATTTGAAGGAAAAAGAAGTAGACTTTTGAAGGCTGAATTTGGATAAATGATGGATATTCAGGAAGTCAGTATAAATTCAAAGATGAATTTACCAACAGTTGGATCTGCTCAAAGATAAGGCAGTCTGCTTTTCATCTGTATAGTGAGAACAAATGTCTTTTATCTCTTCTGGCTTTGAACCCCTGAAATGAAGGAGGACATGCAGAGCAAAGAATGCTGGCAAGTTACCATCTGGCTCAGTGTTCATTGCTTTGGTGGTGCCTCAGTTCTCCTGACTCTGTCACGGGAATGGGGGAAGGGGTTTACCATGAAGGTCGTTCATTCATTCACCAAATATGTTCTAACACTTATCCTGTTTCTCAAGCTATAGTTTAGTGAAGGCAATGGACAAATAAGTACAAGGCAGTATGACAGCGGCTGCATCTAAACTAGACTAAGACAAGTCAGCAAATGCTTCTCAGAGCATAGGACATCCAAGCCATGCATTGACAGATAAGCTGTATCATCCAGGCAGGGAAGTGGGAAATATATTCCAAGCAGCAGGAGCAGTGTGTACAAAGACTGTTTGAGGAAGAAGCGTGTGTTTCAGCCAAGAAACAGATATTCTTCTGGCCAAAGCTTTGGAGTCACCCTCCAGCCTGGTGGGACCAGAATCTGGAGAGATGGGCGATGCTTGGGCCTATCTTCCGGAGTCTGGGTTTATTTTCTGAAGACAGTGAGGATTCTAAGGAGGGAACAATGACATTTGCATGTGACCGAGGGAACTGGTAGAGGGAGCTTTGAACATGCATCTTGGGTGCAGTCAGGTATTTTCCTTCTGACTTTACATCTCATCAGCCATGTTTCATTATTGATGGCACTCAAATGTGACTGGACCAGTGTTTACTCCACCCCACCCGAGGGTACAGTTGACACTATCTGGGGACTTCGTGGGTGGTGCAAGTAGGCGGGGTACTCCTGGCATCTGGAAGGGAGAAGCTAGGGCTGCTGTTAAACATCCTACGCATCCTTCTGTCACAGAGCTGCCCCGTTACCATCCCGTCCCCTGATACAGAAGTATCAGCTTTGAATGTGAACTGTGCCTAGACCAGGCCCCTGCTGCTCGGAGCGGGGATCAGCAGCATGGGTGTCACTTAGGAGCTGTTCACAGCGCAGCACCAGCGGCCCTGCCTCACCCCATGGAATCCTTATCTGCATTGTAACAAGTCTCCTGGGGGTGCACGGTCAAGTCTGAGGAGGGCTCCGTGGGTAAAGCTTCATGTTACTCCCCTTTGGTGGTTTTGAACGCCAAGGGTCTGTGAAAAGGGTGGGGAGGGAATTTGGGTCTCACTTGCAGATCTGCACATAATGCCATTTGTCCCCAGGTGTGTTTTAACAGTGTGCTGGAGATTCAGGACCCCAGTGGCATGCACTACACTTTTGGCTTGCCAGGTCTGCTGGGAGGGTTCGGGTACATTGTGCTGATAGTGCTGGAGGCCTCCGGAAGCCGCGGGTGAGTTGCTAGGCCCCACCCACCACACCTGTCCCGCTCCATAGCAAATGAGCCCAGATCCCGGTGGAGGGGAAATGCATTCAGGGACAGACCCTTGGTAGGGCCTAAGCAAATTTTTGTTGGCTGATTAACTCAGAAATCCTCACCCTGTATGGCATTATCACTCCTCCGGGCTACTTCTTCCCCAAATCTACTGGGCAGAGGCACAAAGTCCTGGGCTGCACAAATGCAGACAGGCCAGGGGGGTCAGCCTCAAGCCCACTGTGTCAGTCTCGCAGGTGAGGTCAAGGTGAAGAGCTCGCACTGTGGAGTCTGACTGGCCCTTCCCTTCACTGCCTGGCTGGACACCTCTGACCTCTCCCAGCTCCGGCTTCCCCAGCGTGAATGAGGACAGTGATGCCACCTCCACCCCCGGGAGTGCTGGAAGGCTACTTGGGGTCTTAAGAGGATCTAATAAATTAATATAGGGAAACCCTTCATTTAGCCAACAGCCTATTGTTTCAATTTTAATTCCCCTACTAAGTAAAAGGAACACTTCAATGGTGAGTGGTGGCACACACCTGTAATTCCAGCTATTCTGGAGGCTGAGGCAGGAGGCCAGCCTAGGCAACACAGCAAGACCTGTCTCAAATTAAAGTAAACGTCTGTGGCCATACCACCCTGAGCATGTCCGATCTCATCAAACTAAGGTAAAAAATGGGCTGAGGACAGCTCAGTGGTACAGCATGTGCCTAACATGCGTGAGGCCCTGTGTTCCATCCTCACTGCTACAAAAAAAGAAAAAAAGAAACACTTTTCAGAGGCCTTTTGAACATTTGAATATCTTGTGAAATGCCTATTCAAGTTCTTTGGGCCATTTTTTTCATTGTGTTGTTCTTTTCCTTATAGATTTGTGAGGGGTTTTTTGTTTGTTTGTTTTATTTTTTTTTTGTTGTTGTTGAGACAGGGTCTTCCTGTGTAGTTCATGCTGTCCTTGAACTCAGTATGTAGGTCAGGCTGGCCTCAAACTCACAGCGATTCTCCTGCCTCAGCCTCCTGAGTGCTAAGATTACAGGCATGTGCCACCATGCCTAACTAGAATTCTTTATATATTCTAAATGTAGGTCCTTTGATATATATATTATGTTCTCCTATTTTTGTAAGTTACTTTTCACTTTGTGTCTTTTGATAACACAAGTTCTTAATTTTAATGTAGTCCAAGTTATCACCATTCCCTTTATTTTAGCAGTTTTATGTACATCTTAAGAATCTCTTTTAGCTGGGTGTGGTGGCACATGCCTGTAATCCCAGCACTCAGAAGGTTGAGGCAGGAGGATCACTGTGAGTTCGAGTCCAGCCTGGGCTACATAGTGAGCTCCAGGTCAGTCTCAACTACTTAGTGAGACCCTGCCTCAAAAAACCAGAGAAGGGACAAAAAATAATCTCTTTTTAGCTGGGTGTGGTGGCGCATGTCTGAAGTCTCAGTGCTTAGGAGGTTGGGGCAGGAGGATCACAAGTTTGAGCCCACCCTGGACAATTTAGCGACACCATGAGACCCTTTCTCAAAAAAAAAAAAAAAAAAAAAAAAAAAAAAAAAAAAAAAAAAAAAAAAAAAAAAAAAAAAAACCATAAAAAAGGCTGAGGATGTACCTTAGTGCAAAGGCCCTGGGTTCAAGTCCCAGTAGTGCAAACAACAACAACAAAACAAAGAAGGAGGAAGACGAAATGAGAGAGAGGCCTGTAGCCTCTGAGCTGGGCTTTATTTTCTGGCTCATTTTGTACAGTTACCCATAGCACTGCAGTGAAGGGGTAGCAGTGCCTAGGCACAGGCTAAACCTTGGGAAAATTATACTCAGCACCCAGGACCCCTTTAATATGTAGTTTAATTTTGCAAGTGATGCTCTGGAATGGCCCTGAGAGAAAAGGGCATCGGGAAGTACTTTCCAGACGTAGGAGTGGGCAGTGCAGGGCAGATAGCTCTGATAGCCAAACCACACCTCATCTTGCTCATACCTTCATCTTCAATTGGCTAATGAGGAAACTGGGGGCTCTGAGAGGTTAAGTGACTGGCCAGGATCACGCAGCCAGTCAACAGTAAGGCTGTCTTGAACTTGGGCCTTCTGTCTCCTGGTCTATTTTACTATCCCTGGGGCCTGAAGACTAAAATATGCCAAGGAGGATCATGGGACCACTCCTCCCTCCCCCACTGCATGTCTGCATGGGACATAGTGCTGGGGAGAGGACTCTTGGTCTCCTCGTAGTCCCTCCTGCAGTAGTACTACTGATGCTTAGCCCTTTTCATCCCCGATGACCTCTGCAGCCTGGTGCTTTGTTTTTTCTAGGACTGGCTTCATGATGCTCATGGACACTGGGGCTCTCAGCTTTGCTTTGGCAATGGGTCTGGTCTCTGGTCTCCTAACAGGTCAGTGTGACGCTATCCTTTTTCTCCCACTTCCTGGGGCTGGGGCCAGAGCACATTCTGAGCTGACCGTGTAGGCGCTGTCCCCTTCCCTGTGGACCAGTGCTATCAGCCCCAGCTCAATGTCACAAAGGGCTCAAATCTCACTTTAAAAAAAAGCATGGAGTCACATCATTTCAGAATTGAAAAGGCCTTTAGCGCCCACCGGCAGCCTTTCCTCAATGAGCTTTCCTGTTTACACGATACTTCTGCCATTGGGGACATTAAGGTGATTAAAAACAACGTGGGTTGGGCATGGTGGTGCACACCTGTAATCCCAGAACTTTGGGAGGCTGAGGCGGGAAGATTAAATTTCTAGCCCAGCCTGGGCAAGTTAATAACTTAGTGAGATCTTGTCTCAAAATCAAAAATAAAAAAGTGTTGGGAATGCAGTTCAGTGTAAAAGTTCAATTCCCAGTACCATAAAAACAAAAACAAACAAAAAACCCAAACAAAAACATCTAGATAGGGGTAAGGATGTGGCTCAGCAGCAGAGCACTGGCCTAGCATGTATGAGACCCGGGCTTGATCCTTAGCACTTCAAAATCAAACTCCACCACCACAACAAAACAACCAACCTGGGCAACAGATGGGGGCAAAGATCTTAGAAGCAACAAAATAGCACCAAACCGACCCCCAAAAGCCAAGTATTTCATTTATTACTGGACCCCCCCCCACTTACCTAAGAAACAATCCTACTGAGTGTGGTTATTAGGTTTCCCAGTTTAGGTAGTTCAGAAATATCAGATCAGAGGTAGGTTGTTTCCATAGGTAACACACACTGGTAGAATTCAAAAGGGAAAGCAGAGAGCTTGACAGAGGTGAAGAAAATCTTAAAACTGGACTCAAGAACACAAAAAGCACAGAAGCCAGTGGGCCAGGACTCTCAGGCACGATGTACCTTCTCTATAATATACAGCATATTTCAAAAATGGATATTCCTAGTGATGGTTCTGATGTTTTAAAAGCCTGTAAATATGTTCAGTGTTGTCTCGTAAGACAAGAATATATGTTTTAGATGAGTTTTCACCAGTGATGAGTAAGCTTTGGCTATCTGGATAATGTGAGCAGGTGACAGATTATTTCTGAATAATTTTAGGTACATGAAATCCGCTGGTTTCACTTTGCATATCAGTATCAGTTAAAGGCTACATTCTGAAAGGAAAATCTGTATTTTAGTAAACACATGCCTATTCTTGTTAATCTTATCATTTAACATGCTGAAGTCATCATCATTAAAAATATACAAATAGCTGGATGTGGTGACACATACCTGTCATCCCAACTATTCAGGAAGACTCGATCATTTGCTTGATCCTGGCAACACAAGAGCTTGTCTCTTAACACATACAGAAATGGGGGGAGGGAGGCAGAGAGAAAGACACAGAATGCCAGAGATTTCCCGCCTCTGATGGAAGATGAGCACTCTGTGTGTCCTGGGAAATTCGGCTGACTTTGCAAAGCTAACAGGATGTGTAGGGTCAAGCTGCCCGAGCAGAGGATGGACAAAAGGACAGGAAGAGCTGGCATAAGAGCAAGTTGTCACAGTGATGTTCCTCACTACCCTAGCGGAAGCTTGAGCTGAGGCTGGGCTTGGGACCTATGTATGGGGCACCTCCTGGGAGTCACTCTCCATGGTAGCAGTGGGGTTTTAAATGGGTCAGCTTCGCAGTGGAACACCATCTGCCACAGTCCTTCTATTCTGTCTTGGGAAGGGCATCCGATCTGCAGTTAATCGGTGCTGCTCAGTGTCATTTCAACCCTTCGGAGAATGCTGGAGAACGTTGCTCTTGCCAGGTTCTATTAGAAAACAGCTACAGAATTAATGAAGCCGGCCCATGAATGACAGGGCTCCCACTTGTCCGTCTCTCCATGGTGGGAGAGAAAGGCTTTCTGTCTGGATGCTGTAATCCACGTACAGTATGTTGAGTAACCTTGACATAACTATGCTGTGCCACAAGCGTTTTAACACTTCATTGTCATTTGCTTTAAGGTTTTCTCCTAAAGCTCAAAATATGGAAAGCACCTCACGTGGCTAAATATTTTGATGATCAAGCTTTCTGGGAGGTAAGGTTTTTTTTAGCGAGAGATTTTGAATGTATGAACTTAAAAAGATTTCAGGATATATGTGTTATAGTGGTATTTATAAGAGTAAAACAAAAACAAAAATGAGGTAAAGAGCATTAAGGAAGAGTAAGTTCATAATGTGTGTGTGTGTGTGTGTGTGTGTGTGTGTGTGTGTTGGTGGGGAGTGGGCAGTTGGTAAAAGTTACCGCTTTCCTGATAATTCAAGATCATTGAAGGTCTGTGAGGAGAGAAAGGCCATGGGTCACACTTGCTCTCCTTATCTGGAGTCATCAATGTTGACAAATCGTTTGACAGGAAGAGGATAGAACCCAACAATACAAGAGTGAAGGAAACCTCAGGAGTCACTGAGTCCAACCCCCCTATTCAGCAGATACTCAGAGAGGAGACATGACTTGTTCAAGATCTCAGGGAGTGAGTGGTAAAGCTCAATCTAGAACATGACTTTTTTTTTCTTTGCTACTGGTCATTGAACCCAGGGCCTTTGCACTGACTTTTTTTTTGGTATGGGGATTGAACTCTGGACCTTGCACTTGCCAGGCAGGTGATGGAACCACTGAGCTAAATCCCTGGACCTGCACTGACTTTTGCACAGAGTTGTACTCCCAACCCTTTTATTTTTTATTTTGATACGGAGTCTTCCTAAATTGGTAAGTTGTCAAGTTGCCCAGGCTAGTGTCAAACTTGTGATCCTCCTGCCTCAGCCTCCTGGAGTGCTGGGACTACAGTAGGCATACACCACCACCCATTTTGAAAGCAAGTCTTGATAAATTAAACTAGTGGATACAATGAAACTTGTAATACAGGAGTTTGGAATTATCTAGCATAGGGACATAGCACTGGGCTGCTTCTGAGGATCTCTCTGTTACACTGTAGCCTGTGACTCATCCCCATCATCTCCCTGGTTTCCTTCCTTTGACTTCCACTCCCTGCTCACAAAGCACTCTGCTAGGCATCTTCCCAGGTAATCGCCCAACCCATGCCTTGGGTAGGCTAGAAATACAGAGACCAATAGGGCCAAAGGAAGTAGGTCTGCAGAGGTCAGGCTAGGTCTTGGCATCCTACCTTTGCAAATGGAAGAGACAAGACCAGGGGCTGAGTCTTCTGCGTCCCAGGCCAGTCCATTCCCCGCCCAGCATCTAAGATATCCAAAAGGGACCGAGGGGCAGTCTTATTATGCGGCTGAGCAGGGAACAATCAGGGCTGCTGGAGAGACAACCTGTCTCTTCTCCATTTCCTTCTCTTTTCTTTTTCCTTTTCCTCTCCAAACAGCTTTATGAGGTACAATTGACATGAATGAGTTACACATACTTAAAGTATACAACGGGATACATATTAACATATTCATATACCCCTGAGATCATCACCACAAACAAGACAAAGAACACATCAGTCACACCCCAGACATTCCCTTGTGCTTCAGGAATTGTTCTCCCCCTTCCCCTTTTAGTCCCATTCCCAGGCAACCACTGAACCACTTTCCATCACTTTAGATTGGCTTGTGTTTTCTTACAGTTCTTTAGAAATGGAACCATATAGTATATCTCTCTCTTTTCGGAGGCAGGGGTCTGGCTTCTACTTAGTATAATTATTCTGAGAGACATGTTGTCATGTGTAACCTGCCTCAACTTGCACCAGCTTCTCTTACCTTTAGCAGCACAGGGGGAATCTAGTGAGAGGAATCAGAGAGCTGGTTTAGTCCACAAGTTCATTCCACATGTATTTACAAGCTCTAGGCCAACCAACAAGGGACACCACAAACATCCAGCTAAAGTATTCAAGTAGCAATAAACATTTGCTGGGTAAATAAAGGAAATCTGAGACACCCTAACACCAGCTCAGCTGCAGGTAAAATAGAGTAAGTTTGTACCTAGAAGAACACCTGATTCCAATCACAATTCCATGATGTATCAGGTTGGCAAGTGCTTTGATTCTCACTAGAGAAATAATAGAAATCTGATACAGAAAGATCCCAAGTTTGAGCCCAGCCTGGCAACTTAGCTACTTAGTGAAACTCTGTCTCAAAAAATTAAAAAATGAACTGAGATTGTAGCTCAATACAAAGATCCTGAATTCAATTCTCAGTACCAGAAAGGAAAAAAAAAAAAAAAAAAACTTTATAGACCCTTACTGGGTGTTTTTGAAGATCAAATGAAGCAAGAATGTCTGTAACAATATTCAGAAAAATGCAAACCACCATGTGAATGTGAAAGCTTATTACTAGGGATTTAGCCAACCATGAAGGAATATGTAAACATAATAGCTATCATACTGCAAGTCTACTATTTTTCTGCGAGCTTACTAGTTCTGATTTCGCAACATTATCTGTTTTCATCCTCACAACAATCTTGTGTGAGAACAAGTACCTCTATCTTAAAGATTATGAGACTGAGGCCTCTGGGGATGAAGTAACTTGCCCCCAGTGACAGAGCCAGTAGATGGAACAGGAGGAATTTGAATGGATGTTGCCTGGCTCCAAAGACACCACATATGAACGTGTTGTGGGCAGCTGCTCGATAGCAGAATTTTATCCCTGCCGCCACCACTTGGGAAATCTTCTGATTTATTTTCTTGCAATTGAGTAGAACCATTTACTCAGCATTCTACCATTTTCAACCTGCATTTGAAAGCCAAATATCCATTACTGAGGCAAGGATTTAAACTTGCAAAGGTGATAAACCCAGGGATAATTTTTAAAACTGTACAACAAGGCATTTTAAACACTATTGCAGGCTCTCATCACATTTCATAGAACCAGAGTTTAAAAGGTGGAAGGGACGTCAAGCTAGTTCAGGGGCTCAGATGTAGCTCAGTTGTAGACCATGGGCTTCCCTTTCATGAAGCCCTAGGTTCAATCCCCTGCACCAAAACAAAAATAACATAAATAAAAACAAAAACAACTCATCCATTCCTTCTCTGGGGGCCCAGACTGTGTCTTGGCACTGCTGGGAAGGGGCACTGAGCCCTCTCCAAGAACACCCATCTAATCCTTGGCTGGTTCACGAAAATGCACTAATTCATTTCACTGCACGAATGCTCTCATCTTGCCGATGTTGTGTGAGGGAGCGTGAGACAAATCTAAAGAAAATATAGTTCTGAGTCTCAAGAAGCCAGATATACCCATTTTCAGTTTCCCTGTAGTTTAAAGGATCCTTGCCCAGGCACTAATTTATAGAAATTTAGTTTTATAACACAATTTTTCATGCATCATGTGCTTTTCCTAAGAGAACAAACTGCTTCCTGTGGTTCTTTAATAAACCATATACTTTATTTCATGCTTTGCAAAGCACAAAAATTCACTGATGTCTACTTTTTAAAGTTTATTCCCGTTAGCCTTTCTGAAGTCAAGCAAGGAATCGTACAGATGAGTACTGTGGACAGGCCTCTGTTTTGAGGGCCTGTGTAGAGGTTAAGGACTGGGTTTTATATGTGCATAGCTCTAATTCTGAGGGACCACGTCATTCAGCCGTAACCGCTGGGAGAGAGAGGAGGGAGAGATCATGGATCGGGAACGTCAAGGAAGGCTGAAAGGTGGCTAGAGGCATTTGACTTTGATTCTACAGGCAACTGGAATTTCTCAAACTGGGAGCTCTGAGTGGGAAAATGAGGCAATAAGAGGAAAGTTTTCACATTAAGTTGAATGGTAGGAATATTAGGAAGGATTCTGAGATGACTGCGTTGTGCTGAAAATCACCCACTGGCATCTGAATAAGTATTTGTAGTTAGTTATCCTTAAACACCACCCCGACCCATGCTGGGGATGGAACCCAAGGCCTTATGCATGCCAAGCATGTGTTCTACTATTGAACTACATCCGGAGCCTATGCAGTTTATTTTTAAATGATTTTATTGCCAAGAACTATAAGCATCACCAATATTTTGGGAAAAAATACAACAGAACGTGTTGAGTTCCTCTTGCTGTTTTATACAGTTTTTAAAACCTAGTCATCACATCAGTTATCACCCCTGCTTCTGATTTTAAATAAACGTTCTAAGCATACAAGAAAGTTCTAGCAAATGCTTGTTCAACCAGAATGAGTACAGCCAGCTTTTTAAAGTAGGAAAATAGATTAAGAGACTGCCAATGATTTCTTAAAGTCTCAGAGGCTCAGGGAAAGGGCCTTCTGGGAGGAAATATGAACTCTGATCCTAGCTCCCCCAACGGTAAACTGGAGTCCTTGGGCAGGGTACTTTACATCTCTGAGGCTTGGTTTCCTTGTTTATAAAACGGGATCAAGTCTTAAATTCTAAGAGCATGTGCTCTGGAGTCAGCCCGATCTGCAGTCTGCCACTTTCACTGTGGCCTTGTACTAGTACAGTCCCAGCCTCCCCATTTCTATAATGCAGACACTGCTAACTCCCCCACTGAGAGGACTTGGGCACCTACTGATCCACAGGAGACATCCCTAAGTGTTAGCTACTGTGACTCCTAGCCCTTTGATTCTGTGATCCAAGTGTTACCGCCCAAACGGGGCTGATGGCTCCCAAAGTCAAAGAATTAAATCACAAGCAAAGGAGGTAGTTAAATGGAGTGTTTATTGGAAGTATAAGAAAGCTCCCAATAGTTGGGAGGGGTCCCCAAAAGGGTTGCCAGAGTGGGCTCTTTGTCTGGCGCCTTTATGTTTAGGTGGCCAGGTCCCCGGCCCTAACAGGTTAGGGTGGGCTTAACCTATAAAATTTGGGTGTGGACTGTCCATGCCATAATACAGAGAAACAGAGCACACACTCACTGATGGAGCACTCTCTGGCCAGCCAGGAATCTTGCTGCGTAATTAGAACAAAGTATAAGGGAGATGGGGATTGGGTCACAATGGACACTTTTCCTGTTTGCTTTTACATTCCTGAGCTAAGTGATCTACATGGCTCGAGTTCACATTTAACCCTATGTGCATGCTATTTTCTTTATAAGGCTGACCAGCCCAACACTATCTTAGGCCCTGTTCCTTGCAAGCTGCCTATTTATAAGCTAAATAGCTAAACTACCTCTTACATAAAGTTACTCAACGTGAAATAATGTTGAGTGGCAGGCTGTAGTATGGCACAAAAAGGACTCAGAATATATTCAGCCTACAGAAGATAAGACCCAAAGGAGACCTAAGAACTCTCCCCAAACATTTGAATGACTGAAATGTAGAAGAGGAAAAAAAATTTTTTTTGGTACCAGGGATCAAACTCAGGACCTTGTACTTGCCAGGCAGGTGCAGCACCACTGAGCTAAATCCCCAGCCCTGAAAAATATTTTTTTTCCTTATGCTCCTCCAAAGAATTTCAACAGGCCAAGTGGGAAACACATCACGCATTTCTAAAAATCTGCAGTTTGCAAAGTAGAATAAGCTACTTCACCTGACAGTAGCGAGTCTCCTATCACTGGAGTTATTCAAACAGAAGTCAGATGATTATTAATGGTTCAAGTGAAGAGGTAAATGAAAGTCTAAGATCACACCTCTCAAGTGTTTGTGATGAAACTGTGTTAGTCAGCTACCTTCCCATCACTGAGACAAAATACCTGAGAAAACAACAACAACAACAAAAAAATGATTTATTTTGACTCACGGTTTCAGTCCATGGTCAGCCTGGTCCATTGTTGTTAAGCTTACAGAGAGGCAAAAACTTAGTAGAAAGGTTTGGCAGAAGAAACCTGCTCACCTTCTGGCATTCTGGAATGAGAAAGGGGAACAGACAGATACAAAGAAAAAGACCAGGGATAAGATAGTCTCTCCAACTAGGTCCCATCTCCTAAATCTCCACATTCCAACAATGCCATTATACTATGGATTTAGCCACTGTCATTAGAACCCTCCAATCCAATCACTGTCCAAAAGCCCCACCTCTGAACATTATTACCTTGGGAACCAAGCCTCCAGCACATGAGCCTTTCTTTGGGAAACATTTCACATTCCCATCCTAACAGAGGTATGGTAAGTTTGAAGAGATCAAGCTAGAATCACTATGCATATAAAGTTAAGAGTATAAGGGTCCACCAGCACTAAACATGTTTGCTTTGCTTTTACAGTTTCCTCACTTGGCTGTTGGATTTTAAGCAAAAGCATCGAAAACTAACAAGGCTACTGATCGTGGAAACACAACTTCCTTTCCCTATTGCCCGCCTGTCTGTATGTGACACTCATTATAGCAGTCTTTATGTACAAAGAAATAGGGTCAGATGGACTTGATATTTTAAAAACATTACAAATTTGTTTAACTGGCAATTTAATAATAATTTTAAATAATGTTTGATTTTATTAAAGACAATGCTATCCATACTTCAGGTTGCAGACACGTTTGGTCCAATTCTAGTGCCAACTGTCAGATTTTTTCTCATGCTTAATAAAGTATATTATCAAGTAAACTCCTACCTACAGCAACAGCAGGTAATTCCAAACTTTTAAAAGTCAAAAATTCACTTCTATTTAGTCCTTGCAGACATGCTTTTTTTCTTTTTTGGTTTTTTGAGACAGGGTCTCACTATGTAGTTGAGACTGACCTGGAACTCACTATGTAGCCCAGAACTCACAGTGATCCTCCTGCCTCAGCCTTCCGAGTGCTGGGATTACAGGCATGTGCCACCACGCCTGGCTCTGCAGACATGCTTTTATTCCAGCAGCTTTCTAAAATAGCTGGCACTTCCTGAGCATACTGAGTCCCGCTGTAGGGAAAGAGTTTCGGTCACTTGTGAGACAGAGACACCTGGCCTCAGAGTGATTAAAACACTGGTCCTGACCTTGAAGAAATCTTTTTTTTTGGTACTGGGGATTGAACTTGGGTCCTTGTGCTTGCAAGGCAGACCACAGAGCTGCTGAGCTAAATCCCTGGCCCTTAAAGAAATTATTTTAAGTCTCCATCCTCTACATAATCTCATGTGCAAAAAGGTGGACTTCAACTACTGAGATTCCTTCCAATTTTCATTTTATGGATCTATGCAAAAAAAAAAAATTCACAAGCCATTTCATGGGTGATGATGGCAGAACTGTCATTTCTTTGCTTAGGGTCCCAATGGCCAGCAATATTCAAAACTGATAAGATATGACAGCCCAAAATGGTGGCTCCGGTGGAAGAGTCCACACACCGAAACGATCAGATATAGCTGATGGTTTGTGGGGCTAATTGGAGCCCATTTTATGAAAAACATTTCCAGGAAGAGTTCTGAAGAATATGTACCCTATTTTGCAGAGGCTGGGAACCTTGGGGGACAAGTGTTCCAAGGAGCAAAGACTATGAAAGTTCCTGCTGAAGCATGTAATTATAACAGACCCTGCTGGTCTATGGAGCTTAGTGGTTCAGGTCAGAGATAAAGCGTAAAATCTAATTTATTACAAGAACAAAGAAATTTTGTCACCTGGATAAAAGACTACCATGTCAAGTGGTAACTGGCAGGGCCGAATGGAACTACAGTCAGAAAGGTATTCTTTCCTGAGGCCTAGAGCGGAAACCACCCCCTCCTGTCCTAACCCCAGATGAAGGACAGAAGACACAGACACTGGGCCCAAGAAGTCAAAGTCCACTTTCCTTTCTACAGGGAAGAGAGGGAGAGGAAAAGGGCCAGGAAGGACTACGTAATTCTTGAGTTACCTACTGTCTCACTGTATTCCCTCCCCTTCTTTAATATAGAAGTAGCCCCTCACACACCTGGACACGGGAGATGGTGATTTGTGGCGACATGAGGCCCCTCCATCTCCTCAGAGGTAGCTTTGATAAATCCTTTCTTTTTTCACCAAAAATGGCCTCCGGTGGTTTGTTTTCGAGCTGCAGACAAACATACCTGAGTCGTGTCCCACCAGCACCTGTGTGGTGGCTGAGTTACATCATCCTCCTCCCTAAATCAGCAGCACATGGAAGATCTCCCATAGAAGAGACAAAAGGAGCCTGGTGGCTGAATCACGGCTTTTTTCTGACATATTCACTTACACTTTGGGAGAGCCTCAAGTGCTCATGCTAATTTGCTGAAACTTTTACAGAATTTTTGGTAAAACCATATAAACCAAATATAAATATGTAGTGAGGAAAAAAAATATGTAGTGAGAAACAATTTTGACCACTGAATAGTTTATAAAAACAAGAAAATACTTATATTTCATTTAACATATGACAAAGAAGAGGCCACATTTAAATAAACACATTAAATTTTCAGAGCACTTTCATTGCAGTTTTGGACCTCAGACGAAATACACTGATGAATCCATAATTTCTCCTGTAATTTATTTTATTTTTACAAATTATACCATGATAAAACTTGACAGAAGTTACTCATGTGAAAGTTTCCTTTAACATTGTATAAGTTAATTAGATGCATACCACAAGAGATTTTGTGGCTGTTTACACAGGGAGTTCTCATGATTTTAGCATTATACAACTTGAAGCTGAGACTGCACTCAGAAGGAAGTTTAGAAAATGGCATTACAAAAGCCTGGGAGTGAGCGGTAAAAATCCCCACGCAGGGCTGCCAGGCTGTGGGAAGTCTGCTGTTTTCACTGCCACAAGTCTTCAGTGCGGCCAAACTTAAACACCAGTCCTCTGTAGGTAAACAAGAAACATCCTATGAATGCCTGGGTTTGAGAAAAGAGAGTACAAGAGATTTTGAGGAGAGGAAATAAGCCACAAAGAGTAACGGATGAGTTGCATACAACACATCTGATGCGAAACTTATCAGAGTAGAAACTGACCATTCCAGGGAGGTGGATTCTTCCACCACTCTCTCCAAAGCTTAACTCGTGAGTATGAGACACACAACTTCAGACAAGTTAACCAGTGTTTAGTGTGTGACCATGAATGATCTCGCTTTGTCGTATTCATTCAACAAGTCTTTCTGGGGGACAGAACCCAAGGTCGCACGCTGCTAGGTAAGTGCTGTACCACTGGGATACACCCTCACATCCCCAACCCCATCAACAAACCCTTGTTGTCTTCATGGGTTATAAAGATAACTAACGCACGTAGTTTATGCCCTCAAAACTGCTCACATTTGACAACACACTGTGGTAAATATTGTGTCGTGGGTGGCATATATCCAAAATGCTAAGGGAGCAGAGAGGTATTCATTCTGTCTGAAAAGTGAGAAAATAATTTAGAGAGGGGATGGTATCTGAGATGAGATTTGATGGATAAACAGGAGTCTGATTGGGAGACTGACAGGCACAAGAGCTAGTGGGATTATGTAGGACTGCTTCAGGGAGAAGAAACAAATCCGAGAAGGCAGAGGCATTAAAAAAAAAAACACAGGGTCAGGGCTGGGGATGTAGCTCTGTGATAAGAGTTCCTCCCTAGCACGTCCCCAGTACTGCCAAAAAAAAAAAGGTCTTGCTGGCTGTGGTGGTGGGACCTATACTCCCAGCTACTTACTCAAGAGACTGAGGTAGGGCTCTTTGATCCTAGGGGTTTGAGGCCAGGTTGAGCAACAGACCAAGACCCACCCTGTCCTTTAAAAAACAAAACAAGAAAAACAAAAAACAAAAAACAAAAAACAAAACCTCCTCCGGGCTCCAGGAAAAGCCCCCCTGACAGCTGACTGGTATGGCAGGAATATGATCTCCCACCCTTACACAGGGTTCAGGCGAGGGAGTGGTATGGCTGTACTCGAGCCTGAAGGAGCCTCAAGAAGCAAGGAGGGCAGCGGTGTGCACAGAAAAGACAGCCAAGGTGTGGCAGAACAGGACAGTCTCATCTGGCTGAAGCAGTGCGGAAGGGATATGGAGGACAGGGAACTGAGGCAGCCAGGCTTTAGGTGCCTGAGGGCAGTGAAGGGCGCAGAGGCCAGCCTGCAGGCGCTCTCAGCGCCCTGCTGGTTGCTAGGCCCAGGCTATGCAGGAAATGGGGCTACACGGAGATATAGCTCCTATTTAAAAGAAACAATTGTATATGACTCTAGTTGATTGTTAGCATCTGTGGCCTCTGGTTGTCATATCTAGTTTCTCAAGAAAAACCAAAATTCTGGTTTTTATGTCAATTCTAAGGATTTTTAAGTGTTGGCTCAATTAAGGAAAAAAGTGGTCTGTATAAAACAGAACTATAGGGAGAATTTGGCTGCAGCCATTTGTTTTAATCTCTTCTTCAGAGAGCTTGGAGTGCTGAAAAAATGAAGATGGGAAATGACAGACAGGATCAGAGCTTTGTTTTAGGAATAAAACAGGATAAGAGGGGTGAGAACTACTGGACTTAGGCAACAGATGGATCATGACCAAACAAACAATGGAAATGGACAAGAGAGAACAGATCTAAAACAATTAGGAGGCAGATTCAGTAGGACTAGGATGTGGCGAAGTATGAGAAACTGAGGTAGGTGTTTCAATGGTGTATACTGTTTTCACTTTGTCTTTTCACCTGTTTTTCAACCAATGTACAATCAGGGGTAAGCCCATGGTGAGAATGATAGGTTCAAAACAGTTTCATAAGGCTTTCACCCCACCTGTCCCAATACTGGGGATTGAACCCAGCCTTCACACTGAGCTACAGTCCTGGCTTTTTTTTTTTTAAAGACAGGGTGTTGCTTAAATTGCCCAGGCTGGGCTTGAATTTGTGATTTTCCTGCGAAAAGTCCTGGGATTACAAGCGAGCGTGCACCACCATGCCCAGCCTTTCTAAGGCCTTTATAAAGGTAAACGCTCACATGTTTTTCTATAAATGAAAGCAAAAATGGAATGAGAAAATCATTTATTCTCTGTCTTGGAAGTGTATTAATTTTTCTTTAAAAAAATGTAGTAAACCTCCAAAAGCTGATTTGATCTCTGCTCGTCTCTACTTTGTATCAGACCTAGTGCTGTAAAAAGAGAGAAACTGAAGTTGGTTTTCAGGGACCTATACTCTCAGGGAAGCTTAAAAGACATGGTAACTTCAAACATGCACACGTGAACTGTAACCTGAAGAGTTTCTCGGGCAAGAACCAGTCTTTCCTACACTGTCCCCTGGTCACCTTCAGTACTGACATCTGCCTCTTCTGAAACAAATTCTGAAGTCATCTGTAACTTTGCTGAGTACTGTTCTAAGTCAGAGTGGTAGGCAATCTGCTGTAACTGTTCTGATAACAGTGTCTATTTGCTGAATTTAACCTAATTTATTTTTAAGTAGAATGATGGTAACAAATGAAAAGTTAACCAAACTGGTTGCATATGAAAACAATTTATTTTAACTCCTGTGGGATAATGACAAGTCAATGATCAGTTTCCAAGGTTTTCTGAAACATGATAACTATGTATGAACTTACGTGTTTCTCCCCATGTTGGAAGACACATAAATTTCCCATCAGATTTTGTCTTTCGTTCCTTTGCTTCTCCTGCTGTGACATACTAACTTTTCTGCCAGAAGTGACATCCCAAAGAGGAATTTACTTTATCTTGCTGAGCAGATAAGGATTAAGATACAGAAGGCCACTGTTGGCCAGCTCCCAGTAAGTCCTGACCACTCCTGAATCCAGAAGCTTCTCTCTTCTGACTTATGACATTACTTTCCTCTGGTTGGTACCGGGGGTGCTGAATCCACCAGAACACCCTGACCCAGTGGGGATATGGTCCTTCTATAAAGCACAAATCTCAGCATTGCAACTTGAAAGGAAAATCCCTAAACATCAACATGTACCTTCCCACAACCCAGGCCATGTTACTCCACTCAAATTTCATTTCACAAGTTGGGGAGGTTTATTGATTTTATGTTTTTCAATTACAGTGCTACAATTAAAGGAAAAGGGTGGGGAGGAAATGACTAGTACTAAATAACTGGTTGAGACTCAGCGAGAAGAGAAGAATACCCAATGACTCCATCTCAAATTTCAACATTCTAGTAGCTAGAGCTCATTGCTTCTTGGCCTTTTGGCTAAGATCAAGTCTTAAGAGCTAGAGGCTGTGGTACAGAGTCTAGCGGATCTAAATGTGAGCCACATGGTCTCAAGGAGTTGACCTAACTTCTCTGGGCCTACTGGCACACATAAAATGGGCAATAATGGACAATAAAATGGGCTATCTTCAGCGTGGTTATGGGGGTTTATTAAGAGTGTACATGTAAATAAAGCACTAAGAATAGTGCCTAGCACATAGTAATTGCTCAATAAACTCTGTCTTCCTAAATTGCTAAACTTCACAGGTTGGGCATGAATTTGAGATCCTCCTATCACCCAGAGTGCTGCGATTATAGGCTGGTGCCACCATGCCTGTCTGGTTACTATTATTTTATGTATAAAAGTCAAAAGCTTTCCAGATTTTCCACCAGTTTCAGGACACAAGATAAAATCCATAAAATGTGTATCTTGCCACTTCTTAATTTACTTTTTTCTTATTTCTAAACTGATTTTATAAAATGGTAAAAATGCCTGGTATAAGTGTGAGTACTAAGTGTTGTTATTACCATGAGCAACTATTTGTAGTTCAAGAGTGGTTCAAGTAGATTTGGGGCTTTTGTTTTTTCTTTGGAGGCGAGAAGAAAGAAGGAAGGAAAAGTTCCACACCACAGCAACTTCCTAGCTATTTTCGGATCAGGGCCTTCTTTAAAACTCTTTTGAAAGCCAGATCTTCTTCTCAGAAACAAGCACACCTATGCACTGCACAGGGAGACATCTGCTAAGTCTCACAGTCAGAAGCATCTACAGCGTCACTGTGAGAGCCAATGCTGAAGGTGGAGAGAAGTAGCTGGGATGTGGTTTTGGGAGCACAGAGCTAGGGGAAAGGACAGGTCCTAAATTTCCAGGAAAGAATGAACGCTGAAGGTTACTGATGAACGTATTTGGCTCTTTAGGGGCCATAGTCATCTTTTCATTGGCAATTACATCTAAAAGGATAAAACCTGATAGAGCCTTTCCTCCACAATTCAAATCAACTTGCACATTTTAATGACATCAAAAGAAAGAAGAATTAAAGAAAAACAATTTTACGATGTTAGAAATACACCTTTAAAATGAACACTGTCAGTGTTACAAAATGAGATCTGTGTGAATCATAGTTAATTCATTAGAGGGTGGAGAGTTAGTTTTAAAACTTAATGTGTATTTCCAAAGTTAACAAACTAGCCCATGTAGTAACAATATAGTCAACCCCAGTCTTTGTATGGTATGAAAATGCTGTGGGGGAGGGGTAAATTAAGCAACTAAATAATAGTGACATAAAAGAAACTATTATTACAAACAAATAAGATAAAGAATGCAAAACAAACTTACCCAAAAAATATGAAGGCATTCTGGAAAAATACAGCAATTCCAGGATATACTATGGGTTTTTCTGCAAAAACAATGATAATATTTAGATGTTTATGATATGAAGCTATTTCATTTCATACACACTGGCAAATGCATTCTTCTACCTAGCTCACTGGTGTCTCTGGGAATATGGCTGGAGTGAGTACTAAATGAAACTGTGTCTGACAGGGTCCAGTGCTGGTTTAGCGCCAGGCCCCTTTCCTCACGGAACGAGTCTTTACTAAAGGCACACTGTGTGTCAGTGTTGTGCGATGTGCTGAGGATGCACAGGGAAGCAAAACAAATCACTCTGCTTTCACGGAGCTGGACGATATGAAAACCAACATGGAGAGAAAATAAAGCAGGCGGGCACAGAAACAGAGCAAATGGTGAAGTTGGACATGGGCGGCTGAGAAGCCCTCATGAGAAGCCAACCTGGGGCGGGGCAGGGCAGGGAGGACATGAGGACAAGAGCCATGCAGAAGCAGCGGGACAGTATAGTGCAAGGGCCTTGAGGGGGCCATGCGAGCACAGTAGAGGACTGGACCTGTGGAGAAAAGAAGGAAAAGTGGATGACGGAATAGAGGTACGCACAGCAAGGACCCTGACTTTCACTCTGAGTGAGATGAGAGCCACAGCAAGATTCCAAGCAGAAAATCAACATGAGCTGGCATATTTTAACAGATCTCTCTAACTGTGGTGCTGAGAGTTGGTAAGGGGCGAGATGGAAACCCACTGGGAGGCAATCTCAGGAAATCAGGCAAACAACTGCGATAGAAGCCACCAAGGTGGCAGCAAAGGAGATGGTAAAAAGTAGTTAGAGCCAGGATTCATTGTACAGCAGAGTCGGCAGGGTTTGCTAACGAGTTGGATGTGGCGTGGGAAGAGGGTCCCCATCTCTGACAGGCCTCCACCACCTGGGGTTTGTGGCCTACACACCTGTGCAGACAGCACAGACCTCAACTCAGATGGGAAAGGCTGAGACTGAAGATGAAAATTCTCACCAGCTTCTATTCCTGGGGTTATCAGTGAGTACTCACTAGATGACAAACCACGGCCCGATAACAGATGGACTGTCAACTTTTTCTCATCTTAAAAGTTATAAATTTATCTGACTAACATAACAGCTGGTTTATTGAGGCCTTCACTCCTATTCCACATTAAATAAATATTGTAACTAGAATGGTCATAATGATGTTGTATCAATGCAACTATGTGAATGATCTCACCCCAATTCTGACACTGGTACAAAATGGCACAGGCTGGGCTGCAGGGGCCAACACAATGACCACTAGGCCAAGGCACAGAGCTCTTACAGGTGGGTGTACAGCTGCCTGGCTTGGGTTGATATAAGATTGGTTCAAGGCTTCTGAGTTCAGCTCTCATATGATCTATACCTTGTATGATCCAATGCTCCAATGCAAATATTATCATCTTGAGTGAAGGTGAACCTTTTAGACACCGAGTACCCAACCCAACTGCAACCCAAAACCCACTTATTTATCACCGGGGGAAAAAAAAAAAAAAAAAAAAAGCTGACACTGCATTTATACCTGAATACTGAGGTGTTAGTTTAGAAAAAAACAACTCATACACTTGGATCCCGTGCCAACAGAGAAGGCTCTGTGTCCCGACTGTGGCATGCATGCCATAGGCTCAGTACCACTGATATAATTTAACTAAATATAACTGTAATATAAAAGGGGGGAATAAAAAGCAAGTACTTTTCTACCTAAAAAGTGATGACAGGATATAGCCAGGGAGGCTAAACTGAATGTATTTCAATTCTAGGGTGTTAGAACTTTGCATGGATACTATTCTGAAAGTTAAAGCAGGGCAAGCTTTGAAGAATTTTGGAAGCCAAAAAGAAGCAAGGTTTGGAGCTGTGTCCCATTTTTTTTTTTTTTTTATATATTCTAGATTAAAAGAGAAAAAGAAGAAAGAAATGCTAACAACATACGAAACAAAACCAAACACAGATGGGGGAGGGAGTCCCCATATACAAATGTATTATTAATGGTAGTAGGCCCATCTATATGAATAACAAGCCTTATTATAAAATAATCAACTTAGGGCCAGAATATTGCTCAGTGGCACCAAGCCTGCCTGGCAAGTGCATGGTCCTGAGTTCGATTCCTAGTACCGGTAAAAAAAAAAAAAAAAAAAAAAAAACAA